ACGCTTTCGAGGAAAATTGTTTTCAGGAATTTAAGCACTATACACTTTATTAATTTTTGTTTTTTTTGGAAAAAAATGACTGACTGTTTTTTTGGAAAAAAACGTTAGGAAAGCATATGACTGACTATTTTTTATGAACAAAAGAGTGAGTAATGATTGTGTGTTCTGAGTACAAATATTAAAGACAGACACGTACACGCACGGGCAAATAAACTCCCATACATACAAAAATACATACACACACATAAACACACACGAACCCACATACACATACACAAACACACACAAACCTACATACACATAAGCACATACAAACTCACATATACAAAAATATGCATAAGTTCACTCATACACACACTAATGCAAATGCATAGATACTTATTTTATATATGCATACACATAGTAATAAACATGCACAGCATGCATATACGCACATACATGAACAATCTCTCACATACAAACGCGTATGTATTTATGTATTATACTTTATAAAATTCCTCGAAAAGGCTTCGGTAAATCAATTTTAAAAAATTTTTGAAAGCGCCGAGATCTTTTCAAGAAAAAATTTTGAAATCGTTTTGAGGCTTGCATGCATGCTGAGAACAAAGTCTAATTTTTTAATGTCTCACTGAGTTCTTATATTCCACTCATCACTTTTTACATAAGTACTGTGCATACAGGCGATTCCGAAGTACAAAAGGCCATTGGTCCCACAGCACCGTTTAATTCGCCTTATTTGCAAAACCAGTAATATTGCTGCTAGTATTATTGATAGGTATTGTACAAAACAAAATATTGAATAGCATGTCTGGTGCTGTTGCTGAAACTCATGAATAATGTAGGCTCGGATGAGGGTGGCGAAGGATATCAGGACCCAACGGGCTTCGTTTTGTAAGCTGTACAAACAGACGTGGTTATTTGCGAAAAATTTGCTTTTTGCGATCCGAACTTGTTGGCTAAATAGAATAGAACAATAAACTTTCCCGAAAAGAGATGAAATAACTGAGTCACCCACCACTCTACGAACTTCCATAATTTCATTTCAGAACAGTACAACGAGAACTACATTTTCTTCAACAAAAAAAAGCATTGTAAGGGGGTTTCTGGAAAGGCTTTACAAGCTCACGAATACATTAGCTCAAACAAGGCAGTCGAAGCGTTTTCTGCAAATGATGAACCCCCAAAGAATTTAGCTGTCTCAGTTTAGAAGAAAAACGAAATTCCTTTTTTCTGTTGCACATATGCCATATGCATAATCCTGAACATATTTAACATCTTCGTTTTTGCTAAATTATTCAAAAAAATAAGTTTCAGCACGCGACCGCGTATGTACAGTGCTTTACCGCAGGGGTCATCGCTGAAATGGGACAGAGAGCAAGACAATTCCGGATATTACATCATACCGTACATCATCACAGGAGACTATGGTACTTTTTTCGTAGTTGCAACCGTTTCAGCTGCTGTAGAGGTCTAGTGGACCATCTTTAGGATGTAGCTGTTATCAAAAAATTCCTTGAAAGACAATAACCTAGTTCTTTCATAGTTAGTTCTTTCATTCTTTCGAATTATCTAGTTTTTTCAAAACGCATCCACGTTATTTTGGTCTTAGTAGCTTTGGTTATTCAGTTCGTCTCCAGTTCTTGGAAAAAAGAATCTCCGACATTACTACAAATAGGCAATTACTATCTGAACACCGATAAATGAGATGTACCTCTGCAGAGAAGTAATGTAAAAGATATTCGAGCTTTACTGTTTCAATTGAAACTTCAGATGTTTCTGAGGAATCGTCAAATTTTTATATA